ATCTCTCAATATATGTTTCACTCTATATGCATCCGAAGAAGTGGGCTGTAGCCCATGAAAGCTTATGCTCGAATAAATTTGTTAGTCTCTAAGGTGCCACAAGTACTCCTGTTCTTTTTGCAGATACAGACTAACACGGCTGCTACTCTGAAATCTAACCACTAGGCTGTGGACTAGTCTTATGTGACATTCCCTCAATCTCTCCTATTGAAGTTGTTCCATTTTAATTAAATAATTAAATATTATTTGGGTCAGTGAAAGAGTTGGAATGACTGCATAGCCTAGTGGTTAGAGCAGTCACCCAAACGGTAGCAGATCCCTGTTCATCTCCCTTTCAGGAGGAGCGGGGAATTGATCCAGGCATCTCCCATGTACTGAGTGAGTACCCTAGCCTTGAGGTTCAAGGTTATAAGGGATATCCTTCTCCCCTCCCCCTGCTATTTTGTGTGAACTTGGCCAAGGGGCTGATCCTGTAGGCAGCTTCTGAGCATGCCTACCCTATTGCACCCCCCCCCATGTGACCTGGGCGGCCAAATGCCTATCTTTCCTGGTTTGTGAATTGGTCTGGGGCTTAGGTGAGAGATATGCGCCCAGCTGCAGTGCACATGTGCAGAGGCAAAAACTTAGGGGCTGAGTGAGTTTAGGCAACTGCAGAGTTAGGTGACAGCTAAATTGGAGTTTTGTGGATCATAATGGAGCCTAAAAAAATGGACTTGGGTGCCTAAATACCTTCATGGATAGCACCAATCCTGACTGGCTACTGCATTATAAATAATAATAATGTTGTAAATTTGTTATTTTTTAATGCCTCTCTCCTGTTTCCATAGCAGTTGCTTATTATCATTAAAACACGTGATTTAAAGCTGCCTTTGATTTTTTATTTTTACCTCCAAAATAAATCATTTGCTCCTGAATGATAAAATCAATATTTTTTTCATGTTAAAAATATCCCAATCCTGGTGTCTTACCTCATTGAATGGAACATTTCAGCACATTCACTTTTTTTCTGCGTCTTGTACAGTTTTCTTACAGTGGATTGAAATGACTGTGCAGTGTGGTCTAGTGGTTACATGAACAGATTATGTGTCAGGCCTTCTACGTTCTAATCTTGTGTCTGCAATGGATTCCTGTGCTACCTTAGACAAGCTATTTCACTTCTTGATGTTTCCATTCATCCACCTATGAAATGGTCATCATTTACCCTCCTGAACAGATTTACATGCACTTTGAGATCCTTGCATGGAAGGGTCTTGAGAAGTGCAAAATATAAACTACAACATAATAGGTGATTGGTGTAAGTAGAAATTGTTGTGCAACAAATATAATAAGCATCACCATGTAACAGTAATTTATCTAGCTTTACAATGGAGTTCATAGACCTGTAAGGGATATTTGCCATATCATTTCATTACCAACTGTATATGTTACCACTACCTATAGAATAATGTTCCATATCTTGCAATGAAAAATATAAATGCCTTTACCTAAACTTGTGACTTCAGATTAAAATGCCAAATGTAGTTATTTGGTTTCAAAAGTTATTCAGAATAAAACACATTTATTAGAGTAAGTGCAATCTATGCCTGATAAATGGGAACACATCTGGTCCATAGCCCTGCTGCAAACCCGGCAGTATTAATTATATTGATGGTTAAAGCTGAGGAGTGAGTTGAACGTTATTTATAGTGATCTTTGCTAAGTAAATCATTTTAAAAATGGCTTTCTAAATGTAACGTTTCCCTTTTAAGAAGCCCCACAGAATTAAAGAGGCTTTACAATGGAACATGAAACATATTGCAGAGGGAGAGACAGAAGCTTGCTTGATTAATGCACACGATTATCAGCAATGCAAATCACTTTCACTTATTAAGTCTTGTTTAATATCCTAATGAAGGCTTCCTGAGCAGATTTGATAATTCCAGAGAAAGTGACTGTGAACTAATGCCCTTTCAACATGTAGAGACTGAGCAGTGCTATAAAGAAAACCTCATTTACTATAATTCCGCCCAAATGTGGTATCCTTTTCGCAGCTTCTACCTCACAGCAGGAGACAATTAACCTTTTAAGTGCCAGAAGTGATTCCCAATACATTTCAGCTGTGAAGGCTAGCAGGTCAGGCATGAATGACGTTTACCTTCAGCTTTTGCTCAAAAACCCTACAATTATGCAAACATGTTAAGAAAGCTCTGAGCAACACTGGGGATTTGCACTGGTACTGTGGGGCTGTGGAAAGGTAGTATTTATGCTAACAGAAGTGGAACAGAGCGTCATATATTAAGAATACCTGGGGATGCCGTTCTTCCACAGAGTGCATTTATAAAACTTAAAGTAAATTAAAACAGATGCTTTTTTAATACATTCAATTTGCCTGACAAATGTTTGATTCCCTTTTCTGAGCATCCAAGAAGTTTAACTCTGTCACCTCTAAATTTGGACATGATGGTATGTAATGGAAAATGGCACATTTTTCCTTTCCCTTCCCCAGCACTGTACACATGATGTGTATTAATTAACACTCCCAAAATATTCCTAACATTAGGATGATCACACCCAGACATGGAGCAAATTAACTTGTCAGATTAATGTACCAGATCCTACCTTGTGTTGAAAAGTCCATTACTGTCTGCACATGGGAAACTAGTACATTCTCATCCTATGCTGTAAGCTTTGCCTTAAACCATGGTTTTTCCTAGACAGAGTTGCAATTCAATCCTTTAGAGTTTTAGAGGTTTACAAACTCCCTCTGTAATTTAAAAGAAGAAAAGCACTGTCAAAGATATAAAGAACTAGCTTTGGATTGAAAAAAACATGATTTCACCTTGTGCTTATCTGGAGATTTTCTAGGGAAAACAAGACTCACAGTTAGATTTGTTTTTAAAAGAGACAGTCCCCTGGGAAGAAAGCACCTGAGGGGGAGAAATTGAAAAGCAGAAAACCCTTAAGAATTTTGTGAACATTTTTTCCATTAGACCATTATTAGGACAAGGAATATGGATTGGATTCTAGGTTTGTAGGCCACTTCAGAGAATACATTGCTAATCCAAACCACTCACAGGGGACTGGCTTTTAATATAGATTTATAAATAATTTGGATTGGTGGTAAACATCTCTTCATGACTTAGAATTTCCATATAAAATGAGACTAGAGGGTAGGGTGTGTGAGTGTATGTGTATTGCGTGTTGTGTGTGCAGGTAACTACAGATTATATGCTGGATTTAAAAGGCACATGTAGCTTTCAGCTGCTAATATGGCAAAACAAGCAAAAAAGCTAAAGAAAGTTTAAGATCTCTAATTGCTAGAAATGAAAGTTAACAAAATGCTAAAGCATTTAAAACTGTGGGGGAACTTAAGCTAAATGGCAACGGTATTTTCCTACAAAAGGGATATATAACAATAAATCAAATGAATTATTTGAGTCAGTCAAGGAAATCTTGCCATTTCTTCAATGTAGGCCTGAATCTTTTCTTTCGTTTACAGTCAAAGAAAGTGTTTGTGTGTTTTGAGGGCATGGAGAAAAGGATGGACACCAGTAGATGTCATTGGACTGGAGATGGAGGTGAATGCCCCCAGGTTAGTGCTGTGTGTGTGTGTGTGTGTGTGTGTGTGTGATGTCTAATGTCATTTGCCCACGCGGGGCTTAAAGCTCCAGAATTCAGGAGGACTTTATTGACAAAACCTGTAACTTCAGCAAGTCCCTATCCTGTTTCTGACTTCAGAGCAAAGGGCAGGAGTCACTACAGGTCTTCCTGCCACCTACACACGAGAGCTGGTTAAAAAATGAAAACCTGTTTGAAAGGAAAATTTTGAAGTGCTTTTTGTTTCAAAGTGACTGAAAGAGATCCATTTTTTACTTTTTTTTTTTTTTTTTTTTAAATCAGATATTTTTATTTAAAAAGAAAATGAAAGTCATGGCATTTTTTGAAAAACTGAAACCAAACAGACTAGATCGAACAAAAGGGAGAGAGAGTAGAAGGGAAATGAACAGTCACGGCAAGCAAAGACTAAATAAGTTTTGGGGTCATATTGGATCCATTACTGCGATTCAGCTCTTGGGTGACAGCAGGGCAGTGGCATGCGTTGCCTTTTCTCATTTGCGGTTGGCTCGAGGCTGTGATTGTTTTTCTCTGTTATTGACATTTCCATGTCTTTGTAACCTCTGTATCACTACAGTGTACTTTGCTTGGGCCTACCCTTGGAGAGCTCCTATAAGCTCCCGTTGGGACAGATAATGCCAATGCATATTTGTATGCCTCTGCACAGGGGTTCAAGGTGTTGGTTAATCTACAAAGCTCTAAATAATCTAGACCCATGGAATACGTTTATCTGAGGGATTGCCTCTTTCCCTGTGCTTGAGCCTACTCCTTATTGCAATGTGCAAGAATCTGAAATATATGAGTTTCAGGCTTCTCTATAAGTGTTATCTGTTGGCCAAGCTTTTAACTGATGTCAGGATTGTTTGCAGAAGAATATGGCCTTGTGTACATTGGGAAAATGCATGGTGTTAACAGTATCTAATTGGCATGTTTCAATTAACACATTAAGTGCAATGTTGCCCTTCTTATGGACAAAGACAATCATTTAAAATGTGTTAGCTGGTCATGGCTAAGGTTAGGGGGTTAATTTATAAATTAGCAATACATAATGAAGGAAAGCACTAAAAGACCTTCTCTTCCTAGCCTACTCCACTGACTTCTCCATTCCCACTGTCTCTCTACAGTGTCTCATAAGTTTTTCTCTTTTCTTTATGTAGTCCTCTCTGGATGATTTTCCCCACTATTCCCTCTGTCCCGTCATTCAGTTACCCAAGACCCTGTATTGCAGTTTCCTTTAATTAGGCCTAGTTGGGCAGATTGAGATTCCCCTCAGAGCCTATTGTAATAAAGGAGCAATTTACAGGAATGCTACTAAGGGTATGTCTACATTGCAGTGTAAGCCTAGGGTTAGTGGAACTTGAGTCAGCGGACCCTGGGTTAGAGAACCCAGGCCTTTAGCATCTACACTGGTTAAGAATTTTCTAACCTGGGCCCGAACCCAGGGCTCCAGCGTCCACATTGTTGTATGCAGACCCCAGTCCAACTGACCATATCCCAGACTTCCTAGCACACTCATGAAATGTGGTTGCTCTAGCCCTTTGTTCATGGTGCAGTATGGGAAAACTGGACTGTTCAGAAGACAAACAAAAAGTCAGCCTGTAGGATACTTTTGGCAGACTGCCAGATCATGAATGCAGTGCGGCTACATCTACACTGCGAAGCAATAGGGCTTGAACCCTGGGTCCCAGCTTGACTCAGGCTCAGATCCACCACCCCTGTGTTAGGTGGCTCAGCCCTGGGTTAGCGTGATTTGTGTGTAGATGGAAAAGGCATTAGGCTTGAACCTGAGTTCAAGCCCTGGCCTTACATTGCAGTGTAGCCATACCCTTGGAGACTGGTCTCTGTTTCCTAACCCTAGGCACATAACATGGGTCAGCGCTATGAAAAGCCGTACCTTTGGCATGCAGAAGGGTTCATTACCAACTGACTGTAGTGAATACTGTTACATCCACCTATACTTTTTGAAGACTGGCCATATAGGTCACTGCAGAGCAAACTGAAGCATTTCCTTCCCTCCCTTCCCTTCTAGGGGATGAGATTGCTGTCTCCATTATGGATTAAGGAAAAGGCAGCTACCCTACTAAACCCCAAATAAAAAGAATATTGAATTTACACAGGTAAGTACTCAAAACTCAGGAAAGGACAAATTTAAGGTTGCACAAGCAACTGTAACTTTGCTCCCTTATGCATATTCCTGAAGTAGTCTTTAATTCAAGAGTGCTATTTCTCAAATGATAAATATAATATGTAATTTTTCTAAAACCTTGGATATACGTGTAGTATCTTGTGTTTGCCAAATTCCATGGAAGGCATTTATATGCACCCCCATGGATCACTGCCTCATTCATCCATACTGACAGCTCTGGAAACTGAAGTTCTTTGGCTGCAGAGCAGGAGTAGCAGGGGAAAAAGCAGTAGACATTTCCCCTATACCACCCAGCTCACATGCTTAAATCTTGACCTGGAGGGGAGTGCCTGTAACGAATGAGAGAGGAGATTACTTTCCATGTCTGTTCAATCCATTGCATCTCAGCAGAGGTGCTAAAAGGGCATAGTCAGTGGTTTTAGTGAGATGAACACGTTTTCTCTGAGAAACTGAAGCCACCAAGCTGCTTTATATAGGCCAACGAAGAGCCACTGCACAGTAACTTTTGGTCACTCACTACTGAGCTGGGCTGGGTTCATATGATTGGCCTAGTGGTGAAATCCTCTGAAACTTCAACTCTTGTTAAAAACAGGGAGTTTTAAGATGCACCTCCCAAACTCTAGGAAAATTGTGTGCCAGACTTTATTCTACTGTTTCTAGGAAAGTCAAAATGATTTTCTCTTTCTTAATTCACATCTCTGTATATTTCCCCCTCTTGTCTTTTAATTTTTAATTATGTGAATTATAAACAAGGTATTAATCTTCAGTTTGAATATGCTAGTTTGTGTCAATCACAAAAGCCTATGAGAGACTGTCATTACCAGGTGCTCAATACCCACAACTGCCCTTATAGTTAGTGGGTACTGGAGGTGTGACGCATCTCTCTAAATCAAGCTCCTAGGACTTTATTTGTGATTTTTTTTTAAAAATTGAATCTTAACTAGTCCTTTCAGGACCTTTAGTAGTTTGTATCTCAGCTTCAATGGTACTGAAGCGGTGTGTTTAATATTAAAAATGCATCAGTTTTCAAGTTGAAAAGTAATTAGTGATAAAATAAAACTAAATACTGAAAAATGTGCTTAATTATGTTACACAAAATGTTAAGTGATGTATTTCCCCATCTCACCCCTAATGGAGCACTTAATCCTCAAAGGATAAAGTTCTCTCAGGGGAGTAGATTGCTCAGGGATTGGTAACAGGATATGAATCCCGCCACCTCTAGGTCACTTTTCATGGCTAAGTGGCTTAAATGAAATACATTGGTGGTCCCAGTCTAGTTCCGAGCTGGCAGGTGTCCATGCCACATAAACTATCATCATAATTGACACCCTTGTTGGGGGCCTCACACGAGAGGCCACAGTCGGAGTGAACACGGAGCCAGAATCACTCTTTAACCCCAAGGAATATTTGCTCTAGGTCATAAATGAGGCAGAGTGGTGTGGGGTTGTGGAGAAGAGCCACTAATGATGCTGTACTTGTTCTGTGGCTGAACAGAGGACATGAGTTTCCAGGGCTGCTAATCCACTGGCTTTCATGAGCACTAAATACGTTTTAAGAAACGATTCATGAATGTGCTGTATCTAGCTATGACATTGGGCTGTGCTTTATTTTCAGTGTACTGCCCCTTTAAATTACAAAGCAGTCTTCCATTGTGCATAGCTGAGCAACCATTTTGTTTTTTTGAGCTCAGGTCAGACTGTCCAAAGAGACAAACACACTGTGTTCTGTCTTGGTGATTGGCTCCGTCTTGTTCTTTTAGTCTTTGTGTGGAAAACACATTAAAATATCCTCCTGGAAAACTCAATTTTTCAAGCAACTACTGCTATCTAAAAAGGGTTTGCACTGATTCCTGTTGATTGGAAAGAGAACCATCTTCTGATCCAGTGAACAGAAACATGGAGTGAAATCCTGGTTCCATGTCAATGGGAGCTTTGCCTTTGACTTTAGTGGGGCCAGGATTTTACCCAGGCTGTTCATAAACACCACCTAGAATAGGACGCTAGTTGGTACAGTGGCTGAAATAAATCAGGGTGGAAACACAGTAGGTGGTAATGACAGGTATACAGGGCAATAGACTGAGCCTCTGGAGAGTAAAAGAAGATAACCCTTTGGATCAGCTGTGAATTTCACCACCCAGCTGTGGGGTGTGTAGATAAAGATAACGGGTGGGGGGTTACAGGTTTTGTTTCACTATTGACGTGATGCCTAGATGAACTTTGACATGTTGCTGACTGTAGTTGTTTGATAAGTGTAAGATGTGAAAAGCCAGCAATAACACTAGATGGTATCAAATCTCTAAAATAATATGTGTTTGAAGGTGGTAGGAATAAATACTGCAGTACAAAAATAAAAACAGAAAAAAAAGTCACAACTCATTCATGGAGGTAAAGAAACATCAGAGGAAATGGCTCTTTCATTTTCTTCTATTTTTTTAACAAGAAAATTATAGACATAAAAAAAATCTTTTAAATGTTGTGGCAAAGCCAAGCGATGTGCTGCCAACATTTGAATACAGGAATCCTTCAAAAATGTTTAGTTGCCAATACATTTGATGCTACCTGGGTAAAAAATATTCTCTCCCTCCCTGCCACAAAACCACCAGTTCCATAGCCTTCATCCCCCAATACTTTTGCTGCTACTCCCCATGTTACAACCAAGGCCGGTTCTAACTTTTTTGCCACCCCAAGCAGCAAAAAAAAGCGCCACCCTGCCCTAACAC